ATACATTTAATTAAAAAAAAATAAAACTGTGTAAATTTTAAATAGAAAACGTTTTTTTTTTCTTAAAAATATACATTAATTCGAAATTTGCAACTAACGTTGCACATTTGAACGTTCATTCATCACGAAATATCGTTCGCGCTGATACTGATCGCTAATCTTCAATTAATTCTACTCTCTCTTTGCTAATTATTTCCTGTCAAAGAAATTGCGTAGCTTATCGCGCTCGTTGCCTGGTGTGCGTTAATATAGGTAAGCGTGTGAATTGCATCAAATGTAGGTGACTGACGTAAACCGCGATATTGGAACCAATCATTTAATGCTATTTGCGTTATCTATCGTTGATGTGTACCAAATACAATGTTGTCAATCAGCTCGCTTTTGTAATACTCTTATACAGTTAAAAATCACGGATACTTCATGTGCGCGCGCGTGTGTGTGCATTGTTATCGTGAATAATACGTGACGTAATTTTGTTCCGCGCAACAGATGCGCTTTGACATAAATTATTATCACAGCAATAATAAACCGTTATTAATTTTTGATTTTCGTAGGTCAGACCACATCTGGAATTAACGTTCGAAAACATATTGTCGCATATTAATACGGTGTACGTGTTGCGAACGAAAAAGGGAGTTATGCGAGTCGACGCTGCGGAGGAATATTCGAACTTACGTTTGAAGGTCAGTGCGCGCGTTGAAAACTTTTTAAGAGAACTAAAAATCATTTCTTAGTTCTTTTTTTTTTTTTGTTTTGTTTTTTAGATCGCGCAAACAATTACGTCGTTAAATTAATTAAAGCAACTAATTTTTCTTCCAGGGTCAAATGCTGTATATACCTGAGTCCGATTTGGTTGTCTTTCTGTGTTACCCAAGCGTCATGAATCTGGACGATTTAACCAGGTAAGAGTTATACACATAATTTGATTTTATACATAATCTTCGCATAAATTGTATCAATCGTTCATTTGCTCAATGAGATTGTCGCGCGGTGGAATCGGTAGGTGTTACACAGGAGTTACACAGCTCGTTAGCATAAATCTTTGCGCAACTTCGTCGTTCGAGTAGAACTCGTTAAAAACTTGTTCTCTTCTCCGCGTAACGGGAAGTTGCACATTTCTAGATCTAATCACCTTAATAATCTTAATTCTTTTTAAGCTTAACTTTTTGGATTATCTTCTTTTTTTTTTTTATCGTTCATTCGCGTAATTGATTTTAACTCTTCCTCGGCGACGTTAATCGAAAGTTTTTTGCGCGTGACATATTATTTGACATAAGACGGACGAGAGTGAGAAACAAACGTCTCAATCGCGATACATTCGCTATCTGAATTCTTCTTGGCTTCAGGCGGGGTCTGTACTTGAGCGATGTTCCCTTGCACGACGCCACTCGCGATCTGGTCCTGATGTCGGAGCAATTTGAGGCGGATTACAAACTGACGCGCAACTTAGAACTGCTCACGGATAAGCTTCAACAGACGTATCGCGAGCTCGACGGCGAGAAGCAGAAAACTGACAGGTAAAGGCTCCGCCCACGGCATTTCCCGATTAAGCCGACTGGATTCCCGCCAGGCTTGTGTTCGTCGTTTACCAGTAACACGATTACGCGGAATCCCTGCGATTTCCCGTCTGCGCAGCGGGGTTGTTTTTTTTTTTTTTTTTTTACAAAGTTGACGAGTCCTTCCGACAGAAATTAACGGAAATTAGATTTATAAACGGGAGCACGGAGAGAAAATACCGCGCGCGCGCGCAACGGAAACTCCGGAGACTCGAGCTCGCGACGATACAGAAATACAGAATTTTGTAAGATTCGCCGCATTTTTGTCGCGAAAGAGATTTCCTTTTCTATCTTTCATTGAAACCAATTTGAAATTCGATTCGACTCGCGGAAAATTTCGTCAAAGAGCGAACGTCAATCCGATCAGACGCGAAACCAACGCGCGCGCGCGCGCGCGCGGCTGAAACGTTCCGACGTGGAATTATATAAAGATCGCTCTCTTGTACAGGTTGCTCTACTCGGTGCTTCCTATCTCGGTGGCGGACAAGCTCCGACACTCGAGACCGGTACCGGCTAGAAAATACGACAGCGTTACCTTACTGTTCTCCGGAATAGTCGGCTTCGGAGCTTATTGTGCCGCTCACACGGACTCCAACGGCGCTATGAAGATCGTTAACATGCTCAACGAGCTGTACACGGCGTTCGATGTGCTGACCGATCCGAAAAAGAATCCTAACGTTTACAAGGTAAACATTCACGAGAGATAAGTTTGAGTGTTTTTTTACTTGGCTTGTTTTTTTTTTTTCTTCGAGTTTCTTAATCTTTGCGAGAAAACATTCTGAGAGAAATGAGCGAAACGATCATCATCACAAACCTTTTATCGTTGCGTCATATACAAAAGAAATTTTTTCGTGTTACAAATATTTTGTTTTTTTTTTTTTTTTATTTTTTGTTAATCTATTTTTTCGTAGAAAGAAATATATATTCTAGATTCGCGCGCAAGAGCAAATCTCTGTTCGGATCTCTTTCGCGCGTTATATATCCGTAACGTTTTCTCGAATCTGTCTCAGGTTTCCATTTGCAGTTAATTCCGCTTTTGGTCGGTCTAGGTGGAGACCGTAGGTGATAAATACATGGCGGTGAGTGGATTACCGGAACCGTGTAGTTGTCACGCACGATGCATCGCTCGTCTAGCTTTGGACATGATGGATCTCGCAGCTGACGAAGTGCAAATCGATGGCGAGCCCGTGGTACGTATATAAGCGCGCAGAGCTGTGTGTTTTGTCTATACTTGCTGCCGGAGTTGCTGCTACGCTTTGCCGCAATAAAGATTTCGATAACACATCCTAGATCGTTCTTCTGAAAGAGATTTCACTGCTACACGGAGTCGGAAGAATTGCCATAAAAGAAGTTATCGAGACAGCTATCTGTTCCGATTTAAAGTTACAATCTCTTTTCGTATACTTTTATATCGTTTGACGTATACTTTGATATATCGCAAACTTGCTTGCTTTGTTCCAAAAGACGAACATCTGTCGTATTTTTGTGTGTGTGTGTGTGTGTGTGTGTGTTATACGGAGATATACAACTCAACGTCATTTTCTATAACGTTATTTTCTAGAAACGCAATAGCTAAGTTTTCGTATATAGTCGTGGAACAAGAAAGAAAAATACAAATCACATCAGTTTTTCTTCAACTTCCGTTGACGCGACACACACACACACACACACACACATATATATATTGATTATATCGTTCCGCAGAAAATCACTATTGGAATACACAGCGGTGAAGTCGTAACTGGCGTAATTGGACATCGTATGCCTCGTTACTGCTTGTTCGGAAATACGGTGAATCTCACCAGTCGAACGGAAACAACCGGCCAACCTGGAAAGATCAATGTTTCGGAAGACGCTTACAGGTATCATTTTATACGCATTATAATGTATAAACAAATACAGGTAAATACAAGTATGCATTTTACGTTTGTGTATATACTATATATACGTATATATATATATATACTATTTATATTTATATTTATATATATAGTATACTATTTATATTTATAACAAATATAAATTTAAAATAATGAATGAAATATAAATTTTTTTCCAAAACGTGACTTCTTCACAATTACACACTTTTGTATAATTATACATATATATTTTTGCCTCACTTTCGCTTCATTCAATTAAAGAAAGTTGCTAAAGGATCACAACAATTTCGCGTCTCACGACACACTTTCCGCTTGTTCTTGATATTCGCACCACGAGCGAATAGCTATATTCCTTACAAAGCATATTTCTCCAATTCCCATGATTCATTAACGCGGCACCATTATGAGTCACGATAATCGTCTCGACCTTCTTGAACTTGACTCTTTCTCAAACCCTCTAAGCTCTTAATCCCATTTGACGACGGCTTTACACGCGCGACGTCGTCACATGTACGAGACTCTGCGTGAATAAAAAAAAATTTCACGTAAAATCCGCCAACATCTTTTTAAACGTGTGATTTACGTCCGACTTTGGTTTATTACTTCGTTCGCAACTTCACTTTTACGAATGTAAACACTCTGCTATATCTCATCGAACTTCGCTCCGGGGTTTGAAGAAGAAATGCGAGATTTAAAAGGTTGCGCAGCAACTTGGAAATGTTTTTGGCGCGCGCGTTTGCCGCATTCTGACGCCGAACCAAGAGAATGCGAGATTATATCGACTTTGCGGCGTGAAATTCTAGGACATAACTGCGCGTACAAACAGGCGTGTGATAAAATATCTGAGATTCTATGCCAGGGCGGGGATTGATCGATGCCAATCGCGCAAAACACAAATCGCGCGGCCGCGAGAAAAAAAGTCTCTTCCGTCAGTCCTGCAGCAGATCCAGATAATCTCTCAGAGATTCCGGAATCTGCAGTTTCTTGATTCCGTTTGGCAACGCCCAGTTGGTGTGGAGCATTTCGCGGATTCGGCAGCGGCACAAGTGTCTGAGTTCGGCCGGACAGGTTCCGTTTCGCTCCGGCGGTATCAGATTCTGATTCATCAGACTCGGATATTGTTCGTGCAACGACACGCTGAGAATTCCGCTGCGACTGGCAATGTGATCGGGAGTTCTAACGCAGGCGGTGATCACGGTTCGTAGCAACATTCTGAGACATATCAGCAGATGTTTCGGATAAACGATTTCTTCCTGACCTGGTTGCGCCTCGAACTCGTTGAGTTTAGTCATGATGATCTCTATCGGGGACGGTGCCAGTTTGTCGGACTCTTCCGAGGCGCCGTAGCGCAGCATGATCAACAGGATGTCCGGCGCGCCGTGTTGTATCGCGACTCTCAAAGGCAGAACCTGTCCGTACGACTCCATGGGCACGTCGATGAAACGTCTCTTGATCGACGATGATTCGCAACGGTATTCCAACCGGGCGCTGGTCGCGTGATTCAAGAAGTACACCAACGCCCGGATGTTCTCCTCGCGATCGTCGAAGTCGCATTTCCAACCGGACAGGAAGTGAGTAACGCGCGTGCCGAAGATCGCGCCGACCAGCAAACGTTCGAAGGTCTTCTCGCAGTAGAATATGTCGTTGAGCAATCGGCTGACGATCTCGTTGTTGCCGATGTCCCAGTCGTAGCAGAGTTTCGCGGCGACGTAGAGAACGTTGTGAAACTTGCCGAGCAAACAGATCGATCCGTTGTCCGACATCGTGATGTTGTGATAACGCAGAGCCGAGTTCACGATTCTCTCGCACACGTCATGTTTGTCCAGATTCTCCGCTGAAAAAAAAAAAAAAAAAAAAAAAAAAAAAATTCGCGATTCGTATTCTCATCTCGGGATCGTCGTCCGATCGTCGTTCCTAACGACGAGTAAAAAACGAGACAAGGTCGAGATTTGCCTTTACCGCCGCGTAGAACGAGAGAGACGCGCGGCGATGTGCAAAATTATTCCGGAATTTTGTGGCGATGCGTTTCTGCGACGCGCGGTATTTTTCACCGTTATCGCGCAACGGCATTGGCGAAACAAAAATAGAAGACAAATAGAAAGGATTAAACACACGGTTTAATGTAACGGTAAGATCATAATGGGCGGCTATATATCTGCGTATTTAAGATATTCGCGTCTCGTGCCGAGAGATAAGAAATTAAAAGACAGATAAAACTATGCGTGCGTCGTTAATATCGCGCGACAGCGCGGCGCGTGTGTTATCTAATCTAATGTGCATATAGGTGCATGAATTTAGTGGGAATCTTCGCAGGGGATTTCTCGCGCAGATGACAAAACGACACTTTCTAATGCTAATAATTATCGATTCCCGAACGTATAAGAGCCATTTGTCATTTAAGCAACTCGCGCGCGCGCGCGAATATTCGCGCACACACGCGGGGATCATCCCGGTTTCATAAATCTTGTTACCTTCTGCACAGCTGTTTATCACGTCCGTGAAATAATTGACCAACTCGCGTCGTTTGTATCGCGAGGCTAAGCAACTGCGATCCATTTCCGAAAACAATCTGTCGAAGTAACAATCTATCAACACCTCCATGGTTTCCAGAAGCAATTTCAATTAGCGAGGAGCAACGTGTGCGGAGCATTCGATCGTGCATACGATTTCAATGACATGTTAAAGCGCGTAACGGCCGTCACGAACGTTCACGTTTTAATGATTACCAGCGAGGAAAACGACCACAACCCTCGCGACAGTACTTAATTCGATTAGACGTGAAATACGCATTTTAAAGGCTTCTTTAACACACACACACACACACACACACACACACATACACATCTCTTCTAAGATAATTTAACACATACGCAGGGTTACGCAATTTTTAATGAATTGCTCATTGCGCAAGACATTGCAAATTATTTTAAAATAATGTTACCATTCACAATGTTTTATCATGTTGTAAATATTTCTGCAATTTTTTGTTGTTGCAGATATCTGTGTATGCCCGAAAACCAAGATCCGCAGTTTCTATTGGAATACAGAGGTCCTGTTATGATGAAAGGAAAATCCGAGCCTATGAACGTATGGTTTTTGTCCAGAGAAAGAGAACTACCTTCATAATAATTGTTCAATAGCAATATAATTTGGAGAAGAATTATATAAGTTTAATAATTAAAATTCTATGGAAAAGAAAAAAATATCCGTACACACACTTGTACGAAGATAGTTAATAATTGTGAGATAAAAAAATATATATATATATATATATATATATATATTAGCGATAAATGTTTTATGTAAGATCACTTTCATGATCACGTTTAATTATTCAAAAGTTTATAAAAAAAAAACAAAAGTTTATTGGGACACTTTGTTGATGTGTGTGTCCCGTGATTGTTCTTCAGGCAAATTGTAAAATCGAATGTCAGTTTCGTTTTCGACGACACGACAGGCCTTTCAGCGATTGTAAATGTACACACACAAGGCAATCAAATATAATCGTTATTTATTTGGTGACATCACGTTGGCGCGGCAAACGTTTTCCTTTCCCGTTTTCATGCGCGATCCGCGCGTAGTCCGACAGCTTATCGATAATCGCTTCCATCACACGGGGGGGGAGGGGGGGGAAGAGGGGTCATAGCCGCGTGAAATGTCCTGCCCTCAGAATTGAAAAAGAATAAAACAAGAATAACCAGACACACAGCCCAGTCCTTGCCGTGTGCACGCGGCTGGAAGTTGTAACGGAACCTGTTCCAGTCCCCTTTAAGTCTTCCCCTCGTTTGCAAGGTCGATATAATGGATCCACGCATCCTGTCCGTCTTTTCTCAAGACGCTATCTAGGTTTTCGTTATATAGAGAAAGCGGTTTTTATAAGAAGTTTTTCAACAAAACTAATCTGTATGAAAATTTTATTGCATATATAAAAAAAACATTTTTATGTTCGCGAGAGAAGAAAACTTTCTCTCTCTCTGACGTTTTTATTAAAATATTGTATTTTGTATGTAGATATATACACGTCTGTGGGAAAAAATAATATAAATTTATACACGCGTGTAAGCCCACAATTTCACCTTCAATACAGATTGGAAAAAAATCTGTTAAAAAGCGAGAAAGTATTTATATCAAAAGAAATGGAAAGGAGTAAGCCGCAAGTAGCAGTTTAATAGAATAATTGGCAGCACGTTGGCGGCAGCATTACACATTCCGCTGGTTGCCGCTAGAACCGGCTACGTCTTCTCTGCTACTCTCTTTTAGTGTCGCGACAGTTCTTGTTGTCGGCGGACAACACAATGAAGGTCATTGCAACATCTTCCAGCTCTCCAGAATTCACCACAGAGAGTTGTTTGGTGGGTAACGCGAGCGTAGCCTGCGGGATCGCGCTTTCCATTCACACGGCCATTCACGAGACACGGCCGTGTACACATTGAAGCGAACAGTCTGACGGAGATGCCCGGGTAAGTAATATACTGCAACATCCAGCGGTGAAATTTTTGGCAGGTGTACACAGACGTGTCGTGCGTGCGCGCGCGCGCATATATATATATATATACATATATACGGACGTATGTACGTGCGTGCTCGCACACCTACGCGCCAAGTCGACGTGAGTTCCACGTGAAAGGCGGTGAACGGTAAAGAGTCAGGTATTTAAATAAGGAACCGGATGGTCGATCTCCCGACTGGTTCGATAGAGGACGCCACGTCCACCACTCGGCCAAGCAGGTACCTGTCGGGTGATTACAACAAGCCGGCTTCTCGAAGAGAACTCGTTCCCGTCCTTCCTCGGGTCTCGCCTTTTTCTTCTCCTCTTTCCTCTTCTCCACCACCTCCGCATGCCTTCGTTCCCCGTAGACGGGCCGACGGTTTCCCACTCCCTCTTTCGTTATACCTGTGGTCCCCGGGGCCCGACTCCCCAGTCCCCACCCGAACCGCGAAACTGCATGAGTGAGTGTCAGCGGCACTCCAGTACAGTTACTGACGTTCCGTGCTGTGAACGATCACCCGTTGATCGTTGTCGTCGTCTTCGTCGTCGCAGTTTGTCTGTCGGCTCTTTAACGGCTGAGTCTCGAAGTTCACTATGTGTCGCTCTTGATACACATATGCAGTTCGTAAGTGGTGCTATCCTGCCTTCACAGTCCCCGACAATATATATGTGTATATATATATATATATATATATATATATATGTATATATATATAACGCTGGAGGGGCGGAATATATACGGTATCGGGAGAGACTGCGAGGGGCACGGCGCACTGAGGAACGACAACGTGCNCCCCGACAATATATATGTGTATATATATATATATATATATATATATATATATGTATATATATATAACGCTTTCCTCTTTCTCATCAGATAGTTTTCTCTTTCTCTTTCCGCGTGCCGGGTCCCGTACGTACCACACGGATCTTTCTCCTTCACGCGCACGCGGCTGATATAATACGCGATCTCGCACAGGTGTGCGCAAGGTGTTAAAGTTTTTCTCGACGAGATCTGCGGAAGGCAGATTACGCTCCATCTCGACCTGATTCGAACGGCCGACGCAATTCGTCAAGCTTTTCCGTCACGTCTACTCTCCGCGCGTCTCGTCCTTGCGAATCCGGTGCGCAATTTCACGGTCGATCGTCAGAATTTGAGCGATTTCCCAGAGTGAATTGGTGCCGGTCCATTGTTGCGCGATGACGGAAATATATAACGCACAGTTTTAATTAATAAAAACAATCTTTAATGAATAATTAATTAAAGAATAATATTTTTTTTTTTTACTCACGCATGCAGTTTGGAATTACAATTACCGCGCGCGCAACGTGATGAAGTTTCGACGAAAGTTAAATTATTGAAATCCTCGCGGTAGTTTGAGAGAATCGCGGAAAACTTCAATTTCAATATGACGTGGCGCGGGCACTCAATGCGCGTTAGATATCGTCTGTTTAAATTGACTTTGTATCGCTTGATTAATTCAAGCTCAAAGGAAATTTACCTCTGCGTGACGTCGAAAAAAAAAGTCGCTTAAAGGACAAATTACCATATATTAATTCAGCTGATTATAAACGTTACAACTGGCGCGCGCGGCTACAAAGAAACAATATTAGTTTAATATTTCAGTTACGGCGCGCGCTGCAAGAGCGCAAATCGTCCGCGAATGAATGTGTCGATGAAAAGCAGTCCGTGCGTTCAAACGGCACTCGACTTTGATCAAGTGTTATTTTGCTTCGAATTGCAGTTGTTCGGGTTCCACGTTGCAATTGCGGTGAATTAATGCCGCGATAAATCGCATCGATAGACATTTGTTTCGACATTTGCCGCGGCCGTTCGGAAAACGTCGCGCATTAAAGTCGCTCGGTCAATTGTGTCTTCTTTACTGATTCTGTCAGATAACAAAAAACGGATGCGCGCTACCTACGTTTTCGTCTTGTATAATACGCGTACTTGAGACTAACGCGAGAGCTAACGTTCTTCTTAAACGTTAATTAAAAATCGATAAATGCAAATGTGCAAAGAAGACGAAGAAAAACCAGACGGAGAAAGAGAAAACCGCGAAGAGAGAGAGAGAGAGATACGAGAGAGAATCAATGATCAACCGTAATTATCCTTGACTTTCCAAATTCCTTCTCAAGGTGAAGCCTATCAAGTCAAGCAACGGTGACCTCGTATACGCGTATGGATGAGACTGTCACGATGACCGTTCCTCCGCCACTACCAGCGAAAACTCAGGCCCGGGATGCGGCGAGCCAGGCCGCTCGGCAGACTGTGTCAATCCGGACCGTTTCTCCTTCCGTCTCGCCGCCTCTCGCCAACGGGCCCGGAGCAACGGTATTCGTCGGAGTGAGCGCTCCTACCGCTACCGATCCCGCGACAACCTGCAGGAGAATCATCCCGGAAGCGCAATCGGCGAACGGCGGCTACGACGAGCGGAGCAACGTCGTCGAATCGTCGCGGCATCAACGGTGGCAGCAACAGTCGCAGCAACCGCAGCAGGCCGCGCATATAGTGAAGATCAAGATCAATCCGGATGGCGACAAGAACAGTAGGGTAATCTCGACAGTGCGGTTGACTCTGGACGAGAACGGGATCTCGCGAAATCGCGAGATCGAGAACGGCGGTGCCGCGCTCGAACGATCGGTTAAGCGCGAAGACGGTGCGGTAGTGGTGAGTGCGACGAACTTGGTGAACGAGCGACACTGCGCGAGTGCCGGTGAGGGCTGTGTTAGAATCAGTGTCTTCAGCGGCGACCCGGCGCCCGGGTCCGACAATCAGGAGCGCAACAACAACAACAACAACAACAACAACACCGTCAGAGTCGAGAACAACGACAGCGAGAAGCGGGTTCAGGATAACGACAGTAGCGACAACGGGGACATGGTGCACCGCGGCACCGCAGAAACTCTCAACTCGTCCACCCTCGCAGGCGGTCGCACGAGCGCCTGTTTCTACTACAACACCTATCAGAATCCGTTAAGCGGCATGGTGATGTCGAGCGGGCAGTGCTCGCCCAGCGACACCTTGGACAGCGGTACCTGCAGCGATCTTGACGGCACGCCGCCGCCGTTGCCGAAGAAGAACGCCAGCACGGTGATACTGTCCAGCAGCACGCACAATCGCACCGGGAGTTTGACCAGCAGCGGCGCCGAGGTCGACAGCGATGACAACGAGAGTAACATCAGTTGCGACTCGTTGAACGGCGCCGAGATGAACGGCGACGAGTACCGGGTAACTGACACGCCGAAGAGCATCGAGGAAACGGTAAGTGTCGTTGAGAAACTGGGCCGCATCCAAACGGCGCTGACAAACGGCGTTGATGATAGTCAGATTGAGGAATCGAGCGGGATCCGTCATCAGGTCTCGGCGATAACGGAACTAGGCTCCGCGCCATGTTCACCGGTGTCTTCGGCTAGCGTTTCCCCGTCGCCATCCGGAACGTCGTCCCTGTCAAAAGCCTCCTCGACGCCGCGAGTGAGGAGTCCCAATCCCGCGATTCAGCAGAACATCAAATCGGCGTTGTCGCCGGTTGTCAAGGAGTGCACGTACGAGGAAAGGAAGGAACAGGAGAGAACGGAGCAGGATGATGTCGAGGCTGCACAGGATCGGCCGGCCGGTCACAAGTACCTGTACGAGGACGACAGGTACTATAATTTTCATTTGAACGAATTAAACCGTAACGACAAAAACTCCAATGGCGAGAAGAACGGCGCGGCTGAGAAGAACGACGAGTGTTTTGCCGGCTACAAAATCCACGACAAAGAAGCCATACGAAGTGCCAAAGGAACCGTGCGCGGTGTGAAGAACAGAGTGCGAGCGGGCATCGCGACTTTCCTGCAAACGCCTACCTCCAAGGTACGTATCGTCCGATTAACTTAATCTCACTGGGGGATTGCGGTAAGAGGATTCGTGGAAAAATAAAATCCATCTCGTGATGGTATACTTGCCATTTTTTTTTTTTTTTTACAAAAGACCAAAAGAGTAATAAAAATAGTAATAATAAAAGAAGTTTCGTTTTTTCAACATTTTCTATGTACGAGTACATGAAGGGTAAGTCGGGAAGAGATGGACTATTTTTTTTTTTTTTAAGTCAAATTACGTAATAAATCATAGAGCAAACGAAACATATATCATTCATGTATGATTCGTTACATTTATTAAACTTATAAGTAGTATAAGTAATGAAACGAAAAACATTATACTTTTTTAAAAAATTGAAATATGAAAAATTATAACAATGGTCCCATTTATCCCCCCTTTGAGTGAGTTGGACACAACTGTATATAAAATAAATGGATCTCTACAAAAATACAATTTACATTTTCTTAACTATTTTTTTTTTTAACAAAAACACATTAGAGTACATTTAATTTTAGATATACTTTACATTGTTTAACAAATACGCACTGTTGTTCTTAGTTGCACTTTACAATTTTCTTCTACTCATTTCTCCCTTTTAAATAACATCTTTAATTGTTCTTCGGCTTACTTGTCTCTTTCCTAGGCATATTTGTTTAGTTATTATTTTGTTTTGCATACCGAAAAAGCCTATCTCAAATTCCTAGTGGTTCATCTGTCCCTAAAAATGGGACCACAGTGCAGTTTTTCACGCAAGAAAGTATTTGACAATTTTTACATAGAAAATGTTTAAAAATGTTTCAAGATGATAGAATATGTGTATGTGAAAAACTTAAGAAAAAATACGTATATCTGTATATTTGAACGTTTCACAAACAAAAAGTGGTGTGAGTTAGAATTTTTCACACCTGATTGAAATGAAAGATGCAAAATATTCATTTGTTATGCAAATGCGATTCACATAAATATACTTACCTGCTTGCAAATACACACTTAACAATAACCTCATAAATACACGCTGACATCTAACAAATAGTTTAGGAAATACGCTGACGCGGTCCGTCTCACCCACACGGTCTATCTCTCCTCCTGACTTACCCTATTAGTTTTTAATTTCTATTAAAGAAACGTTCTTTTTTTTAAATAATGATGTGTGTAATTAGCTCCAAGATTTTTGAAATAATAAAGGTGTTGTTTAAATGGCTGTTAGAGCCAAACACGGATGACGGTGTGTATATAGTTGAATCAGTTTTTTTTTTATTTACTTGAAGTGTTTCAATATTTACTTGAAAAATTGTTGCGTAATTTGTAGTTCACTTTTAATGTGTGTATAAAAAAATGTATGTCTCTTATATGAAATTGAAAAAAAATGAGATATTTTATCGCTGTCGCGATACCGTTTATGACTTTATAATGCCTCCCTGTCTTTGCGGCGCTTCGCGCACTTTAAATATCGACCGATCGACAGAGTTTGAACATCATAAACGACGGGTCGACTTGTTATGCAAATCAGGTGCTGGCACAGCGAGTACCTGAGGTGCGTACCGACGAGATGGAATCGGTATCGAGCAGCCTCGTCGGTGCAAGCCGTCGAGTCGAGCACGCAAATCCGCGCATCAAGCTGAATGCACTTGATTCGCATAGTCTACAGGTTGACGCGTAGCGTTAGATTTACAGTTAGATAGTCATGCTTTCCGCCGTCGCGCTCTTCACGGCTTAGAATCATCATCAGGTGGCATCGATTGGAAAACTGTATCGTGCGTCTTCTTTATTCGAGCTCGTAATAAAATCGCTTGCGAAGAAGGCGCAAAAAGTTTTTTAACAGGTACTTCATTTCAATTAATTGTATATTGAGAGAGAAAGATACCGGAGATAACGTTAAATAATTTATATTATTTCCAAAATTATTATTTGAAAGCATATCAGTGTAAATATTTGCAACCCAAAGGGTGTAAAAAAAAAAAAAAAAAAAAAAAACACGGTCAGAAAGAAAAGGCCGAAATCTTTATTTTTTTCTTCTCTTTTTAAGACGGTACGTGATGAGATTTTTTACGGGTCGGAAAATTTTCGACTTGTGGGAAAAGCTTTTTTTCATGTTTCCGTCGTGAAATATAAAAAAACGAGATGTCACATTGCGGGCTTCGTGTTTCTTGACGCGTACGTAGACTTCTTAAAGATCCCTCATACCGCATTGAGAATGGTTTACACGTCGATCTTCTCTCTGTGAATGAATAATCTTCCGCAAGTGTGTGTTCTTTGAGTATATAAATATATATTTACTATCGCGTCTTGTCGTTAGATATTGCTATTAATCGAAACTATAATCGGCTCACTTGTAGCGTACACGAGACCCTATTGACGTCTTTGTCGGTTGTTCAACGTGTATTTCGCATTAAATTTCGTCTTCGTTTCTGAAGGAGCAACTATTAAGATCTCGGCAAATAGATTCGAGACACATTCAACGTAATAATATATATACACACATATATATATATATATATATATATGTATATCTCTTTACTACGAGGTTTCCGGTGTTGCTATGCGAACATGTCGTGTACGCATGACGCTCGTATCGTCGATGCGGAACGGATCGGCATAACGGTAGATTCGATAAAACGATATTACGGCAAGTACGCTCGACGTACTGAGAAACATTGAACGCCGCGAGAGACGCGCGAGCACCTCTCTACGCGGTTCTCCTCGTGCGCTCATCTTGCTCCCTCCTCTCTCGCGTTGCTCTTTGTTATCGCGCGCTGCTATCCATCGCGTTCGCGCGTGTGCGGCCGCGCGGCCTATTTCGCGAAATTACAGAGACCGAGGGGATACTACTCCGCTTGCACGCAAATGCGCCGGCTCTCTGCGAAGAGTAATCCCGCACTTCCTCGCGGCTGAATCTGCCTTTGAAACTTCCACGGCACGCCTCGATTGCGCTTTTCACGTGCAATCTGCCGCGAACGTGCGATTATATATCCTTCTCCGTTCCTGGACGAAAATCGACACTCGCGACGAAAATGATGATATTGTAATAAGCCCGGCGCGCTACATATTGTACATCCGCGCGCTCGGTAATTACACGGTACTGTTAGAGAAGATTCTCGCGTGTGCAAACCGCGATTCTTGCGAGAGAATATTTTTGACTACTGAAAAATTACGCCGTCTTTTTTCGCACGTTACGTTAAAAATTTCGCATTCATCGTGATTTATTAATTTGAACACAACAACGTAGCATCGTGACGTGACGTTTGAAATTGACAGTAGCTGAGTTTTTCAAATTGTGGACGATCAACGCACAAATTGTGTTAAATAACACCTACCCATCAATTATCAGTCACGCTGATTAATTCTTAATTTTTTGTTTTTTTATTCGTTAAAAAATAAAGTGCTGAAACTGCACTTAACACTTGCACTTTCAAGAATGCTTGCTTTTTTTTCAAGCTCGAGTAACGACTTGATGGATCATTGCACGCCTCTGTATGCCAATGGATTTTTATTGGTTGACGCATTAACCGCACGGTCGGATAACCGCAATTTATGGCATCGAAATGCCGTGCGTGATTGTGCAGACCGCGCCACCGAGGCCGGTGCAAGAAACTTGATTTCACAAAAAAAAAGAAAAAAAAAAAATAAGTAGGTACCAGCACTTCGACCTGAAATCATAAATATCGCTTCGAGTAAAGCACCGTGCTGTGTGTCTGCGTGTGTGTGTGTGTGTGCCCTACATTCGTTGTTTCTCGCTTCCTCATTGAAGCGACGCCGAGGCACGCGGACTCATCTCGATTTATCGTCTACACGTGCTGGTACATCTATCTCTCGCAGATATGCGCTTTGCGCAAAATATTGCGCGTGATAAAAAACATTGTGAAAAATATATATTTTGCACATTGCGCGATCGTCGGTTTCGCAAAAAACATTGTGCAAATTCGGTTTACGATAGACGCGTTTATGCACTGCGGGCACTCTCTGGCTTCGCGACGATTTTCTCCAATTGCTCAACGCGCCGTGTACAACACAGAAGTGTTTTGCGGTTGGAACAAGTAGGCAAACGGAATTGCAAGTTTCGGAAATGTGTACCGCGAAATTACTTCCGACGTTATTTGCTTACGTCACGTAGCGACGATCTTGAAATCTTGCGTTAAAAAACTTTCGTATGTGTATAGCTCGACGTTGCGAATTTAGAGACGCGAGATCGCACTTGATAAACAAACACGGTTGATTATTATTATTGCGACTGAGTCGGTTTCGAAGCAAAACTTGCAATAGGAAATGACGCATCTGCTTCCGAATCAGTGATAGGCGCAATATTCAAGCGTGTAAAGTACGCGTCTGATATAAAAATATTTATTTATCGAAAGCTCGCCTTTTTTAATAAATTTTCTACCAAAATCTACACAATATCATCGTGTTACCTACATCGCACAAGCTGCGTGAACTTGTAATTTTTTAATAAATTAAAAATACCGTGTTTTTTTTACCAAAACAAACAGATAATACAACAGCAACATATTGCGGAGAACAGTATACGCAATTAAAATGTTACATTCGATAATCAGATAATTTCGCGCGCTGTACGATCCGCTTATGTAGGATAACGCGCACCGTGTAGCGAGCAAAGTGTTTTATTGCGTGTGTTTAAGTCAAGAATTTTTTTGCCGAGTCTTAAACGCAAGTTTGGATTTTATTTCCTAATAATTAGGTTAAACGTAAGAATGTTATTTTTTTTTTTGGAACAAAAAATAAGATTGTTAAAGTGCGTTAACAATCTCTCTTTGAGATATACAAACGATGATGAAAATAGATTAGATACTCTTTAGATTAGATAATTTGACGCTTTGAAATCAGCCGACTTCGATTTGAGCCGCTGAGTGAACCAAAAATAAAATACTTTCCATTTTTAGAAGAAAACTAGTTATTATCTTTTTCTCTATATCTGCTCGTATATCTGTGCTTGCATTAATGCGCAACTAGTTACATAATTGCACATTTTGTTCCACGTA